TTTGCCTGGGCTGCCTGGGCCTCATGAGTAGGCAGTGCCATGGAAGTACCGGTAACATGGCTGTATTCACAGCTGAGGTGGCGGTGGAGGATGAGGGAAGTAAGGGGAGCTCCTTTGGTCAAGGAGGTCTCGGAGCTACAGAGATGTCCCAAGACCTTGAATTTGTCCGTGCTCTATGGGAAGACAGCTTGGCCCTCAGCCTCTCTGATAGCGGTCGGATGCGGCAAAATGAAATCCAGGGGCTCAAGCTTTTAAAAACAATGGTTTCATCAGTTCTTCATACAGGATTCATTTTCGGGTCCGTCTTCAATATTTGTTTTTCTTTCTGATTGGCTCCTTATGTCAGTGGATGATCAGTTTGGAGGTTAGGCAGACAGGATCTTATGAGGCATTCCAAAATTGGTGTTCGCCATGTGGATAGGTTTGCGCTTAGGCCCAAGGGAGTTTGTTTACGGTTTCCAGTCCATGTTGAAGATCCATGAACGCTCAAAATCGTTGATTCCTGAGGCCCGACCGACCCCTTTGATATGTATTCTGGATTGCCCCTCTGCCTCATGCCAAACTTATCCAAATACCCCTCACATATGTCCAACCCTGTCTCTCTGTGCCTTTGGCATTTCTTGCACCATCAACATGAGGTATTTTCCCTGGGCGACGACTGTGGCCTGACGCAGGAGGCTCAGGCAGGGATCGACCGCTAGTTTGCAGCCTGCCCAGAGATTTCAACCTGGATGAATGCGCAGCTCAGCGCAGCGGTTGCCACGCTGCCTGTTCACTTTCAAAGTTCTTGTGTCCAGGGCTTGCGATGGGGCGAAGAGGTAGCCTGCCGTGACATTGGTGTGTGCAGCAGGAGCGTTGGTGCTGGGCCTTCGGAAGGCCTACATTCAACAAGCTTGGCAGCGGGCGGTCGGAGACCCAGAATCCAAATGCTGTGGAGCATTCACAAGCCTTATGCTGGCCGGCTCCTCAGTGAGATTTTGCGGCTGCTGAGTGCCAAGAGACCTGAGCAGCTGGCAGGTGTACCCGTTAGCCAGCATTGCCCAGAGTAGCTACGCAGGTTCCCAAATCACGGATTGCTCAATTGCAG